ATTCTTCGGCACTGTTTTCTTGAAACAAGCTAAGTAATACTTGTATTTTACTTTCAGAGAATATGCCTCGATACCAATTTATGGAAAAATGCTGCAAAATTTTGCGCACAGTGACTAAATGACCCTAATTTAACAGACAGGAACAATTCAACTTGGAAATTGTGAAAAAGATTGTGGAGTCAAGTAAGCTAGAAAGTTGAAACTACTCCTGACTCATTTTTCCCGCCCAAAATGTGACTTGGTTCCATTCTCTTTCATCCAGTTCAAACTCTGTGCAGTCTCGTTTATTTCAATGTGAATAGAAGACTTAATAGTAGAGTTGCTAGTGTAAATTTGTCTGCAGTATTGTGAAAAGAGTGAGTTCTATACATCAATCTCTTCGTCTTGATACGTAGAATCAGATTTTCGATGGTGTCAAGTTCAAAAATCCATCCGGCGCCCCCCATTCAAGATGGCGCCCAAAAGGGGCGCCGGGGGGTTGAAAAATTATAAATTTTGCTACAGAGTCGACTGAGGTGTCGATTCCTGTGTAATTTTAGTCGTAGAATCCGAATTTCACATTCAAAAAATCCTCCGACCTAAGGGGGGGCCCCAATTCCAAGATGGCGGCCAAAATGGGCCCCTTGGCGGGAAAATGGCCGTAGATGGCTGTATATATTGTATGACATATCCGCAGATAGGTTTTCTGGGTCGAGAATAACGAATATGAAGTCAGAAATTGTGCTAGACCCTTCGGGGAGGCTCAGGGTGCCCCCCAAAATGGCCGCCGGGGGTCCAAAAATTTTAAAATTCCTTAATACCCCGAGTGGGATGTCTAATTATAGGTAATTTTGGTCGTAGAACTCGAATTTCACATTGAAACGGTCATCTAGTCTAAGGGAGGGCCCCAAAATCCAATATGGCGGCCAAAATTGACTTCATGGTGGGAAAATGACCATAGGTAGCTTCATACGCCGTATGAAATAGATGCCAATAGGTTTTATACGTGGGGAATTTCAAATATAAGATAAGAAATTGTTCTTTACTCATCGGGGAGATACAGGGGGTGGGGAGGGGGCCCCAAGGCCTTCTCCTCTCCCCCTCGAAGCTCAAAATCTTCCATCCAGAGGCTTTAAAATTCTGAGTAAGTAATTAAAATGAATGTCAAAACAGACATGGACAAGGAACACTGAGCCGCTGAGATAAGTTTTAGAAGAAAATAGGGTAAATCGCTAAGGAGCAATCGCGAGTTGGCAGCCCCCTCTACCCTCTGGACATGAAAATTTCAATGGTTTTGCCTTCTCATTATTTTTATCGGTCATGAATTCATTTTGACGTGCCCAACTGCCCATCCACACTCCGTTCTTTGCCGTAAACCTTAAATGGCCTAATGAAAGCATGAAAAAACTTTTTAAATGTTCCTCATTTCTAGAGAATAGGGTCTTTTCGATTATAAGAACAGCCCGATTTCTTTTGAAATGTTTAGGAAATGAATAATCAATTTATTATTAATACAGAAGGAACAAAAATTACAAGGAATGAAAGAGACCAATTAATTTCTCATACTTGAAGGAGCCCCTACCCTTCCAGCATGCTCCTGTATTGAAAAGGAATTTTCTTTCCGTAAATCTGAGATAGTGATTTTGGCTTGTGGAAAGCTTAACTATTTGGAAAATTTTGTAGGAAATTATATAGGAAATTAAACGCCAAGTTCACGGTAAGCCAATTTCCTGCAATATTTTCATCCTGAAAAAGTCGGAATTAGGAGTCAAGAGTTTCGTTTCTGGGTATAGCAAGTCGGCAAAACTACCGAAAGTCCATCACAAACTTAGTGCCTAACTTTCAGCACTTTTGTCGTATTGCGGAAGCTGGAACCAAAAATAACAGTTCCAGGTCGCGAGTTTTCCGGGGTGCGGGTGCTTCCGAAAAATGTTTTATGGTTTTCAGATTATGATTCAGAATACCATGTGAATGAGTAAAGGGGCACGAACAACTTCTTTTTCAAACTAAAAATGAAGTGAGATTGATGCAAAATATCTCATAAATTCAAGGATTATTCTAGGAGTAGCCGTAACTTTCCGAAAGTAATCAATAAAACAGGCATAGCATGGCAGATCATTCAAATCTAAATTCATAGATTGAAAAACACAGGCCAAGCATTACATACTTCAAAGCATTGAATCAACAAACAGTACAGTTTCTAAAGTACTTTCATTAAGGGGCTTAGAAACCCAAGATATTTCCTCTACAGCCAAAAGTGAGTAATGATAAACCATCGCAAAGTACTTAATCAGGCAAAAAATTTCAAATACACAATACAAGAAGTGTTCGACAGTATCTAAATCCCGAAAAGCTTGGCAACTGCGGCCAAAATGAGTGGTCCCAGCTGATAAAATTCGTTAAAATTGCCCAAAGCCCGGCATAGCTATGCGTAGTTTCCGAATTTTGGCCGCAGGGATCAAAAATCTCGGCTCCAGTGGCCGAGTTTTTCGGAAAGTGGATGTTACCGAAATTGTTTTGCCGCATGGTCAACTTTCCATAAGTAAAATAAAATTAAGACGCACATGTACGCCCTAAAAAAAAACCTAAACATTTAAAATTGGTTTTGAAGTATAACCAAGGTGATGTAATGATCGTTTTTTATTAATTTACTGAGGACCATTCAGCATTTCGCCATCTTCAGAGTACAGTCATTAATACATAAATATATCACAGTTATAATGCTGAAAGGTCCTAAGTAAATTAATAAAAAACGATCATTACATTACCTTGGTTATACTTCAAAACTAATATTAAAATGGTGTTGTTCGAATCAAACTTTATTAATTTAAAATTGAATGGAGTTTTTTTGGTAAGAACAACCAAAATATATAAATATAAATTTGAATAGATATAACTCCCCTTAAACACATTAAAATAAATTAAGTTACATTTCACTGACCAGAATGAAAATTCAATTGACTTATAAGACAGAAAAATAACGCCTCTCTGTCGTGTGAAGAGTCTCGCTCTGGAACACATGCACTAAACAATTTTTCGTAGGATATCATATTGACTGACAATGAGTTTCTTATGGACAAAATCTGGTTTTTTTGAGTTAAACAAACGTTGTTTTGCTAGGGTTAAGTTCAAGTTAAAAAAAGATAGTGAAACAACGTTTGTTTAACTCCAAATAACAGGTTTTAAGTACAATCCGCAAGAATTTAACGCAAAAAACCAAGTGTTGTTGACCAGAAACAACGCTTCAAGTCAAATTAATATCTCAAGAAAAACGTTTTGAGTGTTGCCCAGAGCGTACGACTTAACTGACTTTTTCTCCAATATTTTTCCTGTCACAATTTAAATCTGGATTACAATGCCAGGGGCTGCCTAACGTCTTGATGCAAAATATGGACGCCTGGAGGTGAGCTCTAAGAAACACAGGGTCCGTCTAGTCAATGGGAGGTTTTCATCCTGGTATTGTTTCTTCGAGAAAATCTACTACCTTGCTTCTTCTAAAGCTCTAAGAGCTGTTGTTGGAGCACATCGTTGACGTACCAACTCTAGGTGTTGTCTAATCTCTTCGGCGAGAGAAAATCCGGAGCCCAACTTCGCGAGAGGTTCCAACACGTTATTGCTTGCATTATTCATTTAGGTTTTCCACCTTGTCAGTTAACCTTTATTTATGAAAGATCCGGTGATATCGGCACCTGAATAAGGAGCGTGTAATTCAAGAAGAGTGGAAGCTTTCAAAAGACGGGATACGTTTCAAATTGGGATGAGATCGAGGAACTTTTCTTCCCGTAACCAAGACACATTCCCACTTGAGATGTAAGCTTAGGAATCCGCTTGCAAAGAAAAGAGTGGGGATGGGCAGTTGGGCACGTCAAAATGAATTCATGACCGATAAAAATAATGAGAAGGCAAAACCATTGAAATTTTCATGTCCAGAGGGTGGAGGGGGCTGCCAACTCGCGATTGCTCCTTAGCGATTTACCCTATTTTCTTCTAAAACTTATCTCAGCGGCTCAGTGTTCCTTGTCCATTTCTGTTTTGACATTCATTTTAATTACTTACTCAGAATTTTAAAGCCTCCGGATGGAAGATTTTGAGCTTCGAGGGGGAGAGGAGAAGGCCTTGGGGCCCCCTCCTCACCCCCTGTATCTCCCCGATGAGTAAAGAACAATTTCTTATCTTATATTTGAAATTCCCTACGTATAAAACCTATTGGCATCTATTTCATACGGCGTATGAAGCTACCTATGGTCATTTTCCCACCATGAAGTCAATTTTGGCCGCCATATTGGATTTTGGGGCCCTCCCTTAGACTAGATGACCGTTTCAATGTGAAATTCGAGTTCTACGACCAAAATTACCTATGAATAGACATCCCACTCGGGGTATTAAGGAATTTTAAAATTTTTGGACCCCCGGCGGCCATTTTGGGGGGGCACCCTGAGCCTCCCCGAAGGGTCTAGCACAATTTCTGACTTCATATTCGTTATTCTCGACCCAGAAAACCTATCTGCGGATATGTCATACAATATATACAGCCATCTACGGCCATTTTCCCGCCAAGGGGCCCATTTTGGCCGCCATCTTGGAATTGGGGCCCCCCCTTAGGTCGGAGGATTTTTTGAATGTGAAATTCGGATTCTACGACTAAAATTAGATAGGAATCGACACCTCAGTCGACTCTGTAGGAAAATTTATAATTTTTCAACCCCCCGGCGCCCCTTTTGGGCGCCATCTTGAATGGGGGGCGCCGGATTGATTTTTGAACTTGACACCATCGAAAATCTGATTCTACGTATCAAGACGAAGAGATTGATGTATAGAACTCACTCTTTTCACAATACTGCAGACAAATCATCTTTTTTGTACATTAGCAACTCCACTATAACTTTGCATAACAGTCAGAAAGTTTTTACCTAAAATGACTGCTAGCAGAGACAAACTGCTAGTTTGTCTCTGTTGACAGCACGTCATCATAATTTAAGAGAAAGCTTTAGGATTAGGAAATTGGTTAACAATGAAAATAAAGAAATAATAAATTAAAATATTCATTGAAAAAAGATTAAGTTTGGTACATAAATCATAACAAGAGAGAACAAATTTGTTGTTTCCGATAATCATCGAAAAACAGTTTTTACAACAACGTTCAGCAGTGAACTTATTATTTTTTACAGGACAGTTAAAATACAAAACTTACAAAATCATGCATCACGCTATAAAGTACAAAAGAGTTGCCAGGAACTGTTTAACAGGAGACTATAATTCTCATCGATATCACAGCGTTTTGGGAACAGTTCATGAGTTTACACCTGAGATCAGCTTTTCTAGGAAAAGAGTATAGACTCTGACTAAATGATCAGATCCAGCGCTTGCAAGTTGAAGAATTTTATCATTATCCTTTGAGTCTTTTCCAGCTTCACCGAAAACAGGACGGAACGCAAGTTTTTTCACTGTTAAAGTGTGTGATTCACTGTAACAAAAGAAACACAAAAATTGATAATGAGAGCAATGGAAGTCATGAAAATTAGAAATTGTCATAGGTTTCATTGTGTACCAAAGAAAATATAAAAAAATATTGGAAAGTATGTTGCTTTCTAATTCTGTTCTTGAACAGCTGTTTAACCAATATAAATAGTAAAACATCACTTTTTACAATTTTAGGCAATTAATTTATTCTTAGAAATGTTCATCACTTTAAAAACTTCCTTGATTTTCAGCAACCAATCACCAATCAACGATTGGCCCCTCTTATTTGCTTGCTCAATGGTTTTTTACTTTGTATCTGTATTGCATGGCAAGATGTATAGGAGTTAAAAATAAGTATCTCCATTCCATAACTCAAAACTCTCAGACTATGATCTATTTTTCCAAAAGAGAACTGCAAAATATTTCCATCAAACTTTTTGGGAGTATTTTTAAAAAAGTGAAAATAAAAATTACAGAAAATTTCAGGAAATACAGTTGGTTTGTGATATTTCAAAATGATTAACATGAACAGGGATTTGCATCATCGCAATCAGACGTATTCATTGATGTTTGATATTAATTTATCATCAGCGCTGTCATAGAAAATTACATAAATTTTTTTTGAAACTGAGGAAGGACAAAGTCCTAACATTTTTTAAAAATAATTGCAGCAAAAAGGTGAGCGAAATATCTTTATTTTCAAATTTATGGGAGGAAATAAGGCAAACTCACTAAAAAACAAAATGCGAGCTACTGAGAGCTTCCATTTCGTTGTTGGTTGCAGTCAGAGTTCGAAACTTACATTTGAGTTTTACGAGGTCTGTTAGATTAGAAACCGGATTTTGGTGATAACTAGCCCACAATGCGTTCGAATTAGGTTTTCTTGGACTTTCCTGATAGCTGAAAATATACTTAGGAACGCTACGTTCACAAATTTGAAAAATCCTAAATAGCTTCATTGGTATGTGGCTTGAAGTAAGGCAACCTCATGGGTGTTTTGCAATTTTCATATTTGACCAAACTTATCTCTCTATTTTTGGTCTTGCGCTACCTTTTTCAAGCTACAAGGATGATTGGAGTTTCGTCTCCATATCGTAGCCGTACCCTCAAGTTTTGTCACCGAAAATTATCCTATCCAAAAATGTAGGATCATTGTTAGAACGTCCAAGCAGCTAAAGGGAAATTGATATTCGGTTGGATTTTTGTTCAATGGACAACAATCAAGGGACAAGTTTACCTGAAACTTGATGCATGTCTATATACGCTATCAAAATTGTACAAGCAGAGCCTTCAGAAATATTATACAGTTCAGCAAGCTCAGAACAACCATTTTTGAGTACTTTTGCCTGCACTTCTTCCACTTGGTAAATGTCAGTTGCCGTTGATGCTCCTCATCTTCGACGGACTTCTGACCAGTTTTGAATTGTTTAGCCCACACAAAACCGTGAGAACAATTAACACAATGATCTCGGTAAACTTTACTTAGCATATCAAAAGTTTCGGTACAAATTATACCGAGTCTAAAACAAAATTTAATGTTAAATCTTTGCTCTATCAGTGATCGCATGATGAAAATCGCAGAACGCACCTGACTCACTCATGTTCAAGGGGACACAGAATGAACACTGATCAAAACAAACAAAATCTGTGAACGTAGCGTTCTTAAGTATATTTCCAGCTATCAGGAAAGTCCAGGAAAACCTAATTCGAACGCATTGTGGGCTAGTTATCACCAAAATCCGGTTTCTAATCTAGCAGACCTCGTACAAGCCATGTGGCCTATCAAACTCGATTTTCAGGGGCCATTGAAGATTTTTTAGAGGCCAAATCAACTTTTTGCCAATATATAACGGCGCATTGAGGGAAAAGTTTGATGCAAGATGCTTTAGTTACAGAGCTAGTAGCTGTAACTTGGGGAAGACAAATGCACTAAGGATGAAAATGTGAATAATAGAAAAAGCTTTTACTCATAATACTGAAAGTTCTGAGTTCAAAATGAACGTTGGATTTGCTAGTATGTCAATAATCATACAGTTACTTACGAGCATTCTGGCTTTTTTTGTTATTGAAATTCATGGCAATTTCTTTAACAAAGAGAGCCAGAAAGCTCGTAAGTAACAGTATGTTCTGAGTTTTTTCAATTCGAACAGCTTTTTATTCTTTTAACTTATGTGACTTCCTGTGGGTTTCTGCGAACATATGTGATCTCTCCCTTCCTTCCTCTTGTCCCGTTCAACACCAGTCCTCACTCTGCTGTGCCATCATGCCGCAGCAAAATTGCATGCGCAAACGCTTGAATTCCGAGAGTTCAATCAGGTGCCATGCGTCAAAATTTCGAAAAATCACCCAACAGAAAAATTAGGATTTTTGGAGGAAATTTTAGGGGTCACACTGGCGCAGTGTCTCCATTTTTTAGGTGCCACGGTCGATTTTTTAGGTGTATTTGCTGTGAGTTTCGAACACTGGTTGCAGTAATTAGCTTTAAAAAAATTAAACTTAAGTGTTAATATTTTTGCATGCTTTATTGCGGCAAGATATTGTGCAAAAATATCTGACAGAGACAAAGTCTGGAATACCTGTGAAACTTTTAACAGAATAAGGTTAGCAGGAGTTTTTCCTTCGGTTTCCTTGATCAAGTTTCATGGTATTTTACTTTTCTCTTTCCAATTTCTTTGGATGGTCTTTCTTTGTTTATGACAACTGATAAAAAGAATCATGGGACGAAAAAGGAAAGGGAAAAGTTAAAAATAAAGTGTTGCTCACAAGAAAACGTCAACTAAGTATTTTCTAAAAGTACCATCAAAATATATCCATTACCTTCCTTTCAAAGTCTGAAGAGGAGACCATTTTGCTGCTACAGACCAAAGGTACAAGTTAATGTAACCACTTTCACAGCCGAGGGCGATGAGATAAGAGCCAGTGCCACCAACATATCCCGGCGCAATGGAACAGCTTGTGATCGACTCGTTGTTCAGCATCAGCACCGAGCTAACTTTGTCTGACAAAGTACTAACTTCCTCCTGCATGCTCTCTGCGACACTCCACACAACAGCTTTGCTGTCTCGGGACCCAGTGCAGAAGATCTTTGAGTCGTGACCCCACGAACAGCACCAGATGATTCGAGTGTGGATGCCCTTCTTCCCGCCAGTCTTAGCGAAGAGTTCAAAATGAACGTCACTAGATTCAGACTCTGCAACAGGAAGGTCATTATTTGGAATTATCTTGATTAGTTGAGACCAGACTGATCTGGATGATGAAAACATCCAGTAAATTGATAGAAAAACTGACACATTAATTCTGTTTGACAGTCACATTTAACTAGAGGGGCACTACTGTTTTGAAAAAACATGGAGACAAATTGCTGTTCACTAAAGGGCCAGATACACCTGCGCACTACACGCGCGTCTTGACCCGAAAAGTAGGATCCGATTCTACTTTGAGCGAATTACGAGTGGCGAGTTGCGAACTGATTTGCTACGAAGATTGCCGAAAGCCTAATCGCCGCTCAAGAAGCGCGTCTAGCTCGCAGGTGTATCTGCTCCTTAAGGGCGTATTACCCCTAGAACTTCAATTTATTCCTTGATAATCGGTTACAAACCACCTTTACCAGATGTCACAAAAAGTCACAAACAATTTTTAAAAGGAAGAAAAAGAAGACATAGAATCGATAGAGGAACTTCAGCACTTTTGGTGGACTGCGGCACTTCCCAATCAAAGACCAGAATTTACATTAAACATCTGGTTGGAGCAATTGACAGGTAGTCAAAGTACCTGTTGATTATTTTCCAATGATTCCTGCTGTTGAGATAAATTCAACCAGGAGTTAGGTGTAACAAGAGGTGACAGAGCACTACTTTCGTGGTTATCCATTGTCAAACATGAATAGCATTTCAACCAGAGGTAATAGAACTGGCCCTAGGAGCAAATTTACCATCACCAGAAAGCCATAGAATGACTTGTAAGTAAAAAAGGGCATATCAGCAGTGAAACTGCAGGAACGCGTAGCTTGTTTGCAGAGTTTAAAAATCTTCACTCCTATATCACTTTATTAAATGAAAACAAACCAACGATTTTGCTTGAATTATTCATAAATTAATCTTAACATAGAGAAGAAGAATCGGGGGAGTTTTTGAGAAACAATACTAAGTATTTTTCCACTTGAAGAATAAAATATGACAGGAAGTCTGCAACATCGCAGACCCAGATACGCATTCTTGCAGTTTCACTGTCAATCTGCTCGATGAGAGTTTCACTGCAGTTAAGTCCTTCTTCAAACAAGCCACTCAATTTGGACTTCATTTTGCATTCAGGAACTAAAAGAAACTACTTTCTGGCTTCTCCGTAAAAAAACTCATCTGTATAGGGAAACTAAGGGTACACACATTGTTTCTGAACCCAGCCACAAATTGTAGTTCCTAATTGCAAAATGCAGTCAATTTAATTTGCAAAGAGTGCTATTCAAGTCAAACTTACTGCTCCTTTTGAAGAGACTCCAGTCACGATCCCTCGATACAGACAACAAGTAAAGATCATTCGGGGAAAAACTCAGTTGCGTTATTGTTAAAGAATGAGAGACCAAGCTTTCTATTCTCTTCCAAGTTCTCGTATCCCTGAAACAGAACGATAGAATTGAATTAAACGAATACTTAACAGGGTAAAAAAGTAGTCTTCAAAATGATGTATCAGAGCTTTATAAATAAATGTTCTTGCCTGGCATTTCCTGTCTGAAGAATTGCTCGTAGATGAACATGAGAGAAAATAGAGACTGATAGTGGACTCAATCTTAAGATCATTTATATGACTACTAAACAAAAAGCGAAATTAAACACCACCGTATATACTTCCTTATCAAAAGTTTACATAGAATGCTGTGAACACAGTAAAACTTTCAAGTCTAAGTTAATAAATAAGTTAGGAAATGACAGGTTTTGTCTATGTTCATTCACACTTCCCTCCCAAAAATAAACCAGAACCCACTCACGTTAAATCTAGCATTAATAATAACAAATTTCACGATGGAAGAATTTTCTTATGTACTGATTGTTTTCAGTAAGATTGAGGGTACCTTGTATCAGAAAGGGAAGGGAATTTGTGTGAAACTAATCTCTTGTGTTATTTGCCTAATGCAAAGATTAATTTCAATATGGACATAACTTACTTGCCTTGATCATGGTTCTTTCGCAAGCTGGAAGTTTGAATTCTCTATGGGTACACAATTACATAAATTTTACATTCTCTCACTTTTTACAAATTAAAGGGGAATTTTTTTGGAGGTGCACACTCCATCTTCAGCTTTATAAAGTCCTTAAATTTGTAAAAAGTGATGAACATGGAGTTATGAAATTGACAACTGGGCGTACCCAATACCCATTGTTTCAAAAGTTCACAGTTTAGTCACCTATCCTAATCCACAATGTTTGAATTCTCTGTTTTTAATGGAAACTACAAACATTAATCTTTCACTTGTCACAGCTCCGTTGAAGGGAAGTTATATGAAAAGTGATTGGTCGTCTTCGAACTCTTCGAACTCTTCGGCACCTTCAAGTAGGGTAAAAATACTATGTTTTTAGCCAAAAATCGAAATGTGTTGTCCAAGCTCCTCAAAAAATAAATCAACTTTTAGGTTTTTTTCTCAAAAAAATCACGAAATTGAAGAGATTTCCATATTTTTCAGGGACAAATCGTTTCGCAATCTAAAATCTAATTATACAGTTAAAAATCCCTTGCTTTCAGCTTTCTAACGGCCTACAGTTTTTGTGATTTGGAGCAACTGACCGTCTATAAACGGAATTTTACTGCAATCATATCAAGGAATTTTCCGCCAACTCGGACGGCCAGTTCCCTTGAAGAGATACATATCTCTGCTATTTTTGAAATTAAGAGATAAAACATGCACATCGTTAGAAAGATCACACTCTCAGCATGCTATTGGTATAATAATTTTTGAATTTTGAGCAACTTAACGCTGGCACAAAGGAATTTTTCGAAAAAATGTCTAAAAACAAAGAAATACGGGTGGCTCCAGTCAAAGTCAATTTCTAGCCGCACAAATGCACCAAAATAAAAAAACCATAATGTCGTTAGAAAGCTGAAATCGTCAGCTTTTGAGTGGTACCTTGGTTTTTTTTGTAGCGTTAAAAAATCTTGATTAAAAAATACGAATCTATGTCGGAGATGAAACCTTGTATTTTTGGGAGGCATCTCTTAATTTTTCTCCCCTCATTTTTGGGGAGATTTTGGTCACTCTAAACATTACCTGAGAGTCTTGTGTCTCATATGACACATTATGAACCACACCTGTCTCAGCAAAAGTTCATGGTTGCCAAATTTGGCCATTTATCATAGTTTTTCCGAATTACCTGATGTAATTATCGTGTTTTTGGCTAAAAAAATGTGTCATAATAAGTGCAAAGTCAATAGAAAATAGAAAGCTGGAGTTTTATAAGAAAATATAAAAAGGCTGTTCATCGAGTCTTTTGTTTCCTTTTTTTTATGTTTTTTTGTTTTTTGTTTTTGCACTTTTAATACTTTATGAGGGAAAAAATGTAAAATAGATGACGATTCAGTCTAATTTGTTTTTTAAAAAAACCGATTGTTAAACAGAAATAACATTTACTTTATTACATAAAACAAAAGATATCTCTCAAATAATAGCACAATAGAATAAACAAGTTACAAGAAAATCAGTCTTAGTTAGTTAGAGGTGCGACGTGTTGTATGCACAAACGGCGGGCAACAGTGCGGGTCCGTAATTTTCATGGTTCTCTGCCACTTTAAATTTTAGCCACGTTTCATTAAAATCATGGTGGGTAGCCTCTATCGCTTGCTCGGCATAATATCCTAACCCATGCTGGTACTTTCTACAAAAGTCTGGCACATGGTAGAAAACCACATGAACTTTTGGGGTTACAGGGATGTCTAAATAAAGATAACTATCCATAAATTTCTGAATACATTCCTGATAATTTTTTTTTAATTCAAGAGAGAAGCAAGAGTCCACCACAGATTTAAAGGTTTGGAACGCAAGATACATACTTAAGGCCACATACTTAAGGCATTGAAGAGAATCTCTTCTTAGGAAATCAATTTTTTTTAACAATAACTGACATGCATTGCCATTGAATGCGGGTGAGCCGTGCTGCATCAGACGCTGCACGTTACAGATCTTTGCCCACTTTTGTGCATCATATTCAAACTCCTTGTGCATATGATTATACAAAGTATTTACGACCCCCAGTAATAGGTGTAATTCAGGGGGAGGGATGAGATCGAGGAACAACATGTCTTCGTCCATATTGAGCACAGTTGGGTAAATACAATTTTTAAAGTTCTGCGCTTTTTGTTTGTTTTCGCCTGATTTTATCCATTCGGAATAGTTATTCATGGTGCTCCCTACGGTCCTATTCATGCCTAGTTTATCTAACTCACTTTTCTTGGCATCGCACCAGGTGCACGGGTGCGCACTGGAATGCATCATGATACCAACCAATATATTAGCTAGTTTAAAATCGGTAGCAACAGTTCCTAGAAAATTATTAATCGACAATTTCGTCCAGAGAGTGTGAATATTGATGCAATTTTCTTGGGTATGAGGACAAATACCCAAAATGAAAATTTTCTTACCCCAGATGGTGAGAAATTCTTGGTCACAATACCTTCATTATATTTTCCTTGAATTTTTTTCCCTTCTTCCGGACTATTTATGACTAATTCACATGGTAAAAGGACAGACACATAAATGTTTAAAAAACCTTGGCCGCCGTCAATACCAAATTTATAATGCACATTTTCCACTTGCCGTTTTTCTTTCACAAAATTTCAAAAACCTCCAAGATCGTTACAGAAATTTAAAGTTTCCACAGATTTTGTTTCTGAGGTACCTTTTATGTTTACAAACTCAACTTGCTCAGCGTTAAAATAATTATCTATCTCATGAGTAGCATGCTGAAGATTTTTTTCAAGGTAAGGCTCAATAACATTCCTGTTTTTTGTGGCCATTCGAATGATCTTTGCAATCCCTAATGTTGTCTTTGAACTTAGATTAAACGAAGTTTTAATCTTTTGAAAATCTCCAAGGGTAAATAATGGCTTGTTTAACTTTTCATTCACGCCAACCATTACTTTTAAAGGCCTGCCTCTAAGTTGCGAGAGTGATAACACCCCTGATGACTTAGGTTTTACATCATGACCTTCACTCCTTTTTTCCTGAACAATTCCCTTCAGCAATGCTGCACCTACATGCTCTTCAAATTTTAAACCACAAGAATCTTTAACGAGTGTTACAATATTATTTACCAGAGCTACAGTGTTGCACTTATGTTTCCGTCCTTTTTTCAGCAAGTTCATGCATTTATTGCACCGCTTTCCGATCGCAGCTTTTTTTGTTACATGTCCAGATTCCACTTCTATCCTTGGAGTGGTACACATTTGAAACGGCTTGGCACATGAAGGCATAACTTGTTCGTTCTTTTGTGAAAAGTTTATGTTCGCAGGCAACCTGGCAAGATTGCACAGATAACACATACAGGGGTAGCCATCACTCCTCTTCGCAACGGCTCTAGTTTCTTTTTTCAAAACGAACTTTGAAAAGTCTGGTATGTTTAGGATTGCTTTCCCACGGTTAACATTTGCTTTGCATTTGCCACACACAACACATGGTAAACATTCGTTTTCAGAGTCATATTTCGGCACTAAGACTTTAATTTTAGTCCAGAGGGACTCGGAAAGCTTATGCAGAGGACCTTGGCGACAAAAGCACAACAAACACACCGCATGCCGAATTTCTACGTTATTTCTTTTATGATTTAAGCCAATTATTAAGATCAGGCACTGACATCGGGTCAACGACTGCTGTCAAACTGTCGCGTTTTCCTCAATAATCAATGCTCAGTAATCATTATCATCTTATTGTGCACCATTCTAGTGACATTATCATCAATCAATATTTATATTAAGATAATCATTAACGCAAAAACCTGAGCAACGTAATAACCCAAGAGAACTCGTTGTCGGACGGTGGGATATTACACGGAAAAACACGATAATTACATCAGGTAATTTGGAAAAGCTATGATAAATGGCCAAATTTGGCAACCATGAATTTTCGCTGAGACAGGTGTGATTCATAATGTGTCATATGAGACACAAGACTCTCAGGTAATGTTTAGAGTGACCAAAATCTCCCCAAAAATGAGGGGAGAAAAATTAAGAGATGCCTCCCAAAAATACAAGGTTTCATCTCCGACATAGATTCATATTTTTTAATCAAGATTTTTAAACGCTACAAAAAAAACCAAGGTACCACTCAAAAGCTGACGATTTCAGCTTTCTAACGACATTATGGTTTTTTTTATTTTGGTGCATTTGTGCGGCTTGAAATTGACTTTGACTGGAGCCACCCGTATTTCTTTGTTTTTGACATTTTTTCGAAAAATTCCTATGTGCCAGCGTTAAGTTGCTCAAAATTCAAAAATTATTATACCAATAAAGCTGAGAGTGTGATCTTTCTAACGGTGTGCATGTTATATTTCTTAATTTCAAAAAATAGCAGAGATAAATTCAAGAGAACCGGCCGTCCGAGTTGGCGGAAAATTCCTTGATATGATTGCAGTAAAATTCTGTTTATAGACGGTCAATTGCTCCAAATTACAAAAACTGTAGGCCGTTAGAAAGCTGAAAGCAAGGGATTTTTAACAGTATAATTAGATTATAGATTGCGATAAGATTTGTCCCTGAAAAACATGGAAATCTCTTCAATTTCGTGATTTTTTTGAGAAAAAAACCTAAAAGTCGATTTATTTTTTGAGGAGCTCGAACAACTTATTTCGATTTTTGGCTAAAAACATAGTATTTTTACCCTACTTGAAGATGCTGAAGAGTTCGGAGATGACCAATCACTTTTCATATAACTTCCCTTCAACGGAACCAAGTTGTGAGTTGATTCTGGAAGAATCTGATACGTTCGAAGTTTTCTGCTTGAAATTTTGATGAGAAAAATATGCTGTAGTGCTAAATTTCTTACCCTGTCTAAAGGTTAATTGATTTAAGACAATATTAATTTTTCTCTTTTTTTTCCTACATTTTTGTTCAATAATTATTTTATGTTCATGATAGAAAAGTGGGAGCACCAGCTGTTTCATTTGCGTTCTTGGTATTTTCAACTTCATACAGTGACAGTATCGATAAAATTGAGACAAGTATGCTGATTTGACCTTCTTTGGGATGTGGAAATTTTCTCAAAACAGTGAATTTTTTGGATGACATTTTTTTTAAAAATTAACATAAGCGCAGGCCTATAAAGAAATGTCTCAGAGTGACAAAGCATTCAAAATTAAGTAATTGAGGTGAGAAACTTATATGATGTAAATTAAGTCTACCAGAAAGTGGATGAAAAAAAGTCACACGTCATTAAAAGAGGAAATACTACCGGAACTTTGATAAGCTGAGAACTGCACCCTTCGACTTACCATAAAATAATAGCGGCATGTTCCGTTGAGGTAGCTTTGCAAGCGGATGCCAAGATTGAACCATCATGAGAGGCTGCCAAACTGAAGATTTCATAACCATGACCGTAGAGTTTTTGGATCTCAGGCCACAAAGTATTTTGTACCAAATCTTCTTCTGTTGGAGGCTCTGTAAAGTCAAGCTTCAATTTTTAATATTTTTTTATTTAGTTTCATTAAAAGTAGATAAAGAACTATGGATTCTAAAGATTAGTCTCTCCATGGCAGACGTGATTCATCAGATCAATTTACTATACTGATACTACTAGATTAATAATAGTATACTACTTCGTATAATTTAGTATACTTTAGTAAATAGTGTAAGGAACTTATTTAAAACAGAAAGAGTACGTAAAATAGATAAAACGAAAAAGTAATTATTCAAATCTCACTTCTCTCCCTTTCCTTTGTTTTTGGTAAGACACATTTTGCACCTACATGCAACCGATCTTCAATTCCTGAATTTAGTCTAATTGAATCAACATATGCAAAAACGTCCGATGTCCAAGACAGTGTTTCAGAATTTGAGTGGACAATTTTGTTGTAACTTGACGACACAAGATGGTTTAAGGCGTTAGGAATGTAGAACAATTTTATAAATGATCCCCTAAGTGTGATTAAATGTTTACAAGAGAGATCGATCTATTCATCAGTTTTGTGGGACAAAAACCCACCGCAATTATAAAACCCTGTATTGGACAACGGACGTTTTCGTAAACGTCGATTCAAATGACCAATACAGTCTCAATTACGTCAATGTGAAAAATTTCCACTTCAGGTATTTATCCTTTGACTTATCATTTCACCAAATAAAGAACATTAAATTTTGCAATAAAATCATAGAGGCATTTTCAGGTACATGGTCCATTTTATTCTATGGTCAGTTCACATGGACTGCCTCTCTGAATTTTAGGCAAAAGAACCAAAGTAAGTCCACCATAAAGAAGAAAATGAAGAAAAAGGGCGCAAGTGCATTGTTTCTGAATTTATAGACAATTTTGCCGAATATTATTAAAAATCTTTTTTTTATCAATGGTTCCTTTGTGAAGTTTCAATAAACTCCACAATCTGGAGAACGGAACTACTTGCCTGGACTCATTCAATTATGATCATAAATGTGAGGCAAAGTTGATAAAATACACAAAAGATCACTCACGCTTCAAATCCAATGGTGAGAAGTACGCCTCAGGGTAGTTATTTTTGTCGGTTTCCAGATCGGTTTTGGTCTCTTCACTCTTATAAACTGCTTTATTTGATAAACCTAATGCGGGCACAGATGCGCCAAGAGGGTTGATTGCAACGCTATCTCCTAAAAAATAAGAGAAGAAAACATTAAATTAATTACAGAAACAAACTAAGTTTCTCTGTTATTTATATATCATTGACTGTGAAAAAGCTACCCTTAAAATACTTACTTGAAAATTATTATTTCGCTAGTTCCTACCTCCTGGTTCCTTTGGACACCTGACAATTTGTAGGGTGATGAGAAAATTTTAAAAAAATCACACGTTCTGAGAAAACCCTCTGGTTGAACAAAATTTGTTTTATTTTTTATTTTGCAACTTTTTGTACATTAACATAAATTTGATACTTAAATCTTATGTTAACAATATTACATCTAAATCACTATGCATTAATTTGTTACATTGTGATCGAAGAAATCGTTTACAGAGTAGAATTCATTATTAATTAAATACACTTTTAGTTTCAATAATTTGTTCCCATCTCCTTCCCTGATGTGCTTGGGAAGTTTATTATACATTCTGCTCCCTTCTCTGAGTAGGGGATCTACTGCGTTTTCAAGTTTTATGTTGGACTTGTTCCGAGTGTTATGAGAATGCACATTGTTGAAAGTTTTGAATTCGTCAAAGTTTTGGAAAACATATTTAAGCACATGATAGATATAGATGCTTGGGACTGTTAGTAGATTCATTTCTTTGAACTTGGATCGGCACGACTCGTTTCTGCCTAGACCAGAGATTCTTCTGATGATCTTTTTCTGCCAGATGAAAATGTCATTCAGTTTGTTAGAACTACCCCATTCGGCTATACAGGATGAAATATGAGAATATGCATGTGCATAGTATACATCTTTAAGAACTTTCTGGCTAACTAGACTTCTAAAAACTTTAAGTTGAAAAGATGTGGTTGCTAATTTTTTGCATAGTGCTTCAGTATGGGCAGACCATGATAGCTTGTTGTCTAAGAAAATCCCTAGAAATTTTGCAGAGTCGACAAGCTTTATGCCCATCTCTGATAGAGCATGACTGTCAACCGCTAAGTTTTTACTGAACAACATCAGTTGGGTTTTATCCGTGTTGATGCACAGTCTCTTGCTAGCCACGAAGCTCTTTAACCGATCCTCTACGATTTGCAGTCTCGCATAAAGCTCCGAAGTATTCTCCGCAGAGATAAGGATGTTTGTGTCGTCTGCGTATTGAACTACTTTAACAAATTCAAGGTCTTTAAAATACTCTTTGAGTGCGTTTACATAGATCAGAAACAAAAGTGGCCCCAGAGAGCTACCTTGCGGCACACCTATGTCTACCGACTCAAGCTTTGAGTTGACTTTAGACCCATGGGCATCCATCTGCACATACTGTTTTCGATTTTCTAAATAGGAGGCCAACAGATTTAGCGCTGTCCCACTTACCCCTAACTCGTATAGGGAGGCACGCAGTAACTCATGGTTCACTATGTCGAAGGCTTTGCTCAAGTCAACAAAGACACAGAGCGTTAATTTTCCTTTTTTGAGATTGCTGTAAATGTAACGGAGAATGCTGTTTACAGCTGTGCAGGTGGATCTCCCTTTGACAAACCCATGGTGGGAGCTACTTATGAGATTATGCAGCGTGAGAAATTCCCAGAGTCTCCAATAGATTATTTTTTCTATGATTTTGCCTAAGTTTGAGAGTATACTGATCGGACGATAGTTGCTTACATGTTTCTTGTCATCTTTCTTATGGAGTGGAATGACTTTTGCTATTTTGAGGATATCTGGGAACTCCCCTGTAGCAAGAATGAGGTTTATGATAAAGACAAGCAAGGGTACTACGTACTTACTCACTGACTTGATCGTCATAACGCTAATATCGTCAAACCCAGAGGAGCCTGAGCTAGACAGATCGTTGATTGCCTTCACTACTACGTTCTCATTGGTAGACTTGAAAGTATGTCTACTCTGTAACTTTCCGGAATCAACATGAGATGATATAGTGGCGCTTAAGTTATACAGAGACTTAACTAAATTAACAGGGGCCGAGACAAAATGACTGTTAAACACTTTTGCAATCCCGGTCGCCTCAGTTATTTCTACTCCCTTGTCAACAATACTTTTTATAGTATTCACTTGCTTCCCCTTTCCTAAATTTTAGTTGACTAATCTCCACGATGCCTTTCCTTTATTCGAAGCATTGTGAATCACTTTGCCAAAGTGCTCCCTTTTTGCCCTGTCTATCAATGCTTTGTACTCCCGCAAAAAGTCGAGGTACACACTTTTCTTGACTAAGTTATTTTTACTTTGGATGTACAACTCATGCTTCACTGTTCTAGCTAGATCAATTTCTTCAGTATACCATTCATTTTGTCTATGCTTCACTGCTTTTCTATTTATTTGTGGGAAAGCTTGATTAAACAAACTGCAAAATTTTTCGTGAAAGATCTTAAAGGCATTGCCTGCTGAGAGCTGGGTGAAGACTTCTGCCCAGCTCACTGATTTTACTAGAGATTGAAATTTTAAGGTGTTGTTTCTACTAAATAATCTCTTGATTGGAGGGACTCCGGAGGCCATGTTGCCGTCCGTTGATCTGAACTTAAAGATAATCATGCTATGATCGGAGTATTTACCCTCATCTTCTACCTTAGTCTCAATACACTCCACGTTACTTAATACATTGTCTAGACAAGCTTTTTGTCTAGTGGGTACATGCACATGCCTCACAAGGTTGTGTGATGACAGACAGGATTCTAGATTGTTACATTCGTTTGTTAAAAAGTCAATATTAAAGTCGCCAGCTACAATAATTTTGCCTGACATTCCTGCGATTATTTCGTCTAGTTTGTCGGTGAAATTCAGTGCATTGCCATCTGATCTGTAGACAGTTAGAATGGTAATTTTTTCCACTATATTTTTTATGGCGACAGCTTCGAAGATTTTGTCTTGGCAGAAATTATCAATTTTAACTACCTCACAAAATTCAGCTATATCACTTCTTACAAAAATGGCAACACCGCCATAGGTTCCCCCATTTGAGGCTGGCTCTCTGTAATAGGATGTTAGCATACTGTAATTCTCAAAGAAAATTTTGCAATTTTTGGGGAGCCAGTGCTCCGTTATACAGAAATACACGGGCTTAACATTATGTAACAATACTTGTAGCTCTTGATATACGCTGAAAAGACTTTGCACATTCAGTAGAATCATTGTGTTGTTGCACCCGTCAACATTATCGGGTACTGAGAGTTTTACATTTTGAGTTTCCCTATTATCAACTACTAGTTGAGCAGTTACGTCAGTAGGATCTAGTTTAAATTAATGGAGACACCTTCCAATTGGTTTGACATACTTATTCTTTTAATTAACCGTCTAGCTACTATTTGTTTGCCAATTTGATTAAGATGCAATAGATATTTGACATCATGCAGCGGTTGACTTAAATTACCGATTTTAATTTCAGACACTGCTCTGAATGATTTTTCCCAGCATCCTACTACAATACCAAATCATAGGAGAAAGTTTACCTGATTTGTTTCGGTCAACTTAGCTATTATAAAAAAAAGAACACTAAAAAATAAGGCCTGAAGTATGTGTAACAATGTGGTAAAATAGTGCTAGGTCCACACTATTATGTGGGGAAACAAGGCTAGAAGAGTTCAAAAATTTCAATTAGAGTCAAAAATTTTGAAAAACACTTTTCTGATTTTAGCGTTGATGTTTGGGTTTACACAATAACTTTATCATTTAAATTTTTAAGAAAACTCACTTGCATGTTGTTTATTTCCTTAATACCGGATGGACGCGTTTCGGTCTCATTGCGAGACCATTATCAGCGAAACAAACAACGTGCAAGAGTAATCTTAAAAATTTAAATTATTTTCTGGTTTTGTTTTCCGTTCAAAAAAAAAAGAACCCAGCACTATTTTACCACCTTGTATCCTATTATATCAAGAGAAAAAGGGGCAATCTCAGTAAATTAAACAAACTTTTTGAATTGTTCAATTAATCTTCAATTTTTTGGCAAATTTGAAAGATTTAATTTTTTCCCCTCTTCCTTCCTTTCACCATTGTGTAGATTTTTTTTCGTTGCATCCACTAACATTGATGGTTCAAACGGTTTAAAAAAAGAAATAAAGTTGAGTAGTATTATGAGAGTCGAGATAATTTGGAACAAAAAGCTACCGATTAAATGTGTCTGCAGCCCAAAAAGGGTGCAGCCAACTAAACGGACTTTCCTCAGATAAAATTGCACAAAAATCACCTCCAACACATGAGAAATCTTTAAAATCTTTTCGAGATTATTCCAAAAAATTCTTACCATCTCTTAGCCCTTCTTGGAGATCAATATTGGATAATGACTTGAAATTTTTTAAGAAATTTGAAGGAGCTGCAAAAGTGCGGACAACCTTTTCCTCCGCTCCTGAAGCGAATTTGGTCCTTGAGATCGCAGCGATGCAAGATAGGTTGTAACCATGGACCTGAGGCCTTCCTAATTCATGCCAAACAACCTGATGGTTAGAGAGAAGATAATTAACAATAGTCGGTGATTTAACTCTTCAAAAAGAGCATAAATTGTGCAGAGTTCGTAAGGGTCTTCAAGGAACAATACTTCTTCCTTGAAATTTCGGGTGGAAAAATTTGCAGCATGTGACAGAAAAATTGAAAATCAAACATTCAGCTAGAGGTCACTGTTTGAATCTTGATCTGAAAATTGATAATTACGGATTTACTAAAAATTTTAACATTAGTTCAAGAGTAAAATTTCTAAAAAAATTTATAAAATCAGCAGAGGTATTGCCGCTTACGACCAGTTGTAAATGACTGAAGTCATGCTTTTTTGGAGGTGATACCAATATTCATTTTTTACAGAGAAGTTACATTGGTATTTTCTACAATAAATTAATGAGTATTTACCAATAGGACTCAAATTTGTGGAAAGTGAACATTTTGAAGTTTATAGATGGACCATAATGAGAAAGGAGGAAATACTATTTGATAAAGTCCTTAAAATGTTCAGATTACTTCTGTTAACCCATTGACTGATTAAATAATTTTGGCTCTGATTTGCTAATTTCACCTTTACCTTATAAAATCAGATTTTTGGGGCTTGCAGAGCGACTAACTCAAGAAAATTTAATTAGTTACTTATTACTAGACTATAAAGAAAGAAAAATTGCCTGGTTGATGAATATGACTTCCATTTTTATACATCTGTGTTATTGAAATCTGTGCAGAAAAATTGAAAAAAAAAAAAGTGGAAAATTGGGGAAAATCATGTATTTTTGATGAAAAACAGCATGCAACAAGAGGAAATGGTTTGCAAACCCAAGAGGACACGCAGATTACTTATATTGTAAGATAGAGTGCAAAAAATAAAACTGCAACCAGTGCAAAACAAATAAAATAGAAAGCGTAAACTTAAAGAAAAACTAGAAAATTTCAAGCAAAAATAAAAATGAGGGTTATTTTCTAAACTTGAAAATTATCATATAATCAGGGAAATAATGGATCAGATCTGGAAAATATTGGAACGTTTGGTCACTGTGTTCACATGAGTCAATATATGTGGCGCTCTTTATCGGAAGACACCCAAAACAACGCAAATAATGTTGCCAAGTCTCAGGACGAGTGGGACTCGTTGCTTTCAGTCAATGGGTTAATTTAAAAAAAAAAAAATTCCATCATTTACTTTGTAAAATATGTTGGTTTTTTAGAGTTTCTATTTTCTGAAACTCTGGCTTGCCGCCCCTGATTTCTTTCTTCATTTTCCTTTACTCCAAAATTTCTGAATTCTCCGACTTTTCCCTGATGTTCGATTAAAACCTCAACTTAAATTTTTTCTTTTGATGATGCTTGCTTTTGCTAAACAATGGATGGCATCTCCATTCCTAGAGATTCAAATTACGGAAAAAGGGACACTGAAGTTGTTAGCGCTCTCTCGAATGGCATCGTTTGAAGATGCTGAGCCATTGCATGATAATCGAAATTCCCTGATTTCGGCATGAATTTCCTGACTCTCTAGGTTTTTCAGACTGCCAGGGGCCCTGATTTTTTCATCACTCATCTTAAAAAGAAAAAAACAAGAGACAGAAAAGACAAACAACTGCTTTTCAGGTTGAAATTCCATTAGTCTCCTTTGCAAACATTTATTCTGATGATGGGGCACTCGAGTTTCTTCAGATAATATGCAATAATTGAGCGGTATTCTTTAAAAAGGACTGAGTGACATGAAGTGTTGTCAAATTTCATCAGACAGTTTATTTCCTTATTAGAGAACTATTGCACTGATCCTCTTGAAAATGTCATTATGTCACTTATTGCCGCAAAGCAAATTCTTTGAAACTTTTGAACGAATAGGTAATGCTGTTTTCTTGAAAGAAAACTAATGATGCAATCAAATTAGGGATCTAGAAGCAAAGTGGGTACTCGCATCCCCTTTCTTATGGCAGAGAACAATTTAATCTCCCAGCCAGCCAATGAGAGTCTCAGATTGTGGACTAGTCGCAACTGAGCACCAGGTGTCCCATCTTACAGAACATGATGGGAGAATATGAATCTCGTGCAGTCAAAAGAACGGTAAGTTTTCCTGCCATTTGAGACCTTCACTACAAGCTCAATTACTTCATTGAGGAAACTTAATATTCAGATGAAATTTTTAGAACACTTACTTAATCAAGCTATTAATACATTCCATCCATAAAAACTTTTCATTTCGACTCTCGCGAAGAGAACTTGCGCTTAAAAAACAGAATTTCCCTATAAGAATACTTGGCAATTTGAATTCCCGCTATGTACAACGAGTCCACTGCTATATTGTGCGAGTACCTACTTAGCTCCTAGATCCCTAAATGAAATTTTTCTACAGTTGACGTCACTTGTTTTCTCTAAGTAAAGGACTACCCATTTAGACTACATTTTGCAATTTGGAACTACTATTTTTGCCTCACTTTAGAAACAACTTGCATGCCCTATACTTTTTCTATGCAGATGGATGCTTTCATGAATTAGCCAAAAATCGTAGTTCCTTATTGCAAAATGTAGTCCATTCATTCTTTCCTCTTTTTCATGAATTCCTCGTAATTTAAAATTTTCTAGGTTTTGGTAATATTCACCGCTCACCGCTTACCACTCTGCCATGGGAAACTAAAATCTCTAAACTATTATACCTGCTGCTGTTCTTTTTCAGAATGACGAACCCACGGAGCATGAAGCCTGGTTGTTTGATCTTGGCTGACGGACAGTAAATAGGCACCTTTCGGATCCCACTGCAGATCTGTCACTTCGTCGAAATGACCTCCTATTACAACATCGGGATCCCAGCGCTTTCCATTCTTAATGAGAAATTAAACAAAAATTAGTACGTAAAGACAAAGAAAGGGGGAAAAAAGAGAGAAAAAATGAAGAAAAAGAGGAGGTAGAAAATTTGGTAGATGCCAAAATCTTAAGGCTTGTGTTACACTGACTCTACAATCAGAGTATCCATGTCTAGGCAGAATAAGGTCACCTGTATCTTTTTAGTTAAGAAAAGTTGTGCCGCTATATGATTGGACGACAAATTTTAAACAGGGTTGCAATTTTTCATGAAAAATAAAATCTTGAAATTTCATCAGAAATGCTGCATGAAATTTCAGAAAAATATGAAATATGTTAAAAACTAGTTTTCAAAATTAAATGAAAGGCAAATGGTTCTTGCTTCTGGATGTTTTTAGTGCACATTGCGTACCTAGAATATATGTTTAATACTTTTCATATTTTTCACAGCTTCGTGAAATTTCATGAAATATTTCACAGAAATTTCCAGTATTTTATATTTTTCACTTCAATACATGTGCAATTCTGATTTCAGACTATCATGAAGCTATTATGGCCGTAATTGAAGAAATTCTCACACGGCCTATAGGCTTCTAAAAGATTATAATTACACTCTCACAAGAAACTACTCCAGATGTACTGTTACCGACCCTCTCTTTTAGAATTAATTCAATTAAATCATTGCTTCCTCATAATTATCATGTTGGTAGGACCTTAACTTTTTTTCTTTTTAGATCATTACATTCTTTATCAGAACGGTTCCTTTCAACTTCACGGTACCTTCTTCCTTCTTTTTTCTATAATTTCATGATTGCTCAATTGATTCTTTCTAGAGGGAATTTAACGGTTATGAGGAGTCGCCATCATATTTGTTTACATGAGGCCATGGGAGCATCATATCAGCATATTTGTTGAAAATGCGGAAACAAGGTTAAAAGACATGATACAAAGGCAGGACATTTCGGTACCTAACGGCACCATTATCAACTGCTAAAATAGAATTAAAAATAAAAAAGAAATTAAAATAAAAACCAGCAAACGGCGTTACATGGTGAAATTGGTATTGAAATGAGACTGCAGTGATAACAAAATGAACTACAAGGTACGATATTCAACAAACATCAGAAAACGAGAGAAAACTGATAACCGATGATTAAGAAAGTAAATTGCACGGGCAGCCGCCAGGAGGCAATAGTTCACGGCGTGCGCAACAAGCCAAAATAGATGGAGCTTAGACGATTTATATCTGAGCGGGAATTACAAACGGAATCCTGATTTTTCAGGATTTCAATCATATCTCTTATTAACCTAGGATAATATTTCTTCTCATGGCACAAAATCCTCACATTTTTGAAGTCAAACTTATGTTGTAATTGATCTTAATGGTTGTCACCTCCTTCCTATTATACTTGGGCCCATTAAGCGTTTGGCCAAAAGTTGTTTTGTTTGGCCGATGTATGAAATATCGCAATTAGCACACAGAATCTGGTATATATGCCTGATATATATCTGGTATATATCTGTGCCAATTGCGATATTTCATACATCTGCAGAACAAAACAACTTTTGGCCAAACGCTTAATGGGCCCAAGCATAATAGGAAGGAGGTGACAACCATTAAGATCAATTACAACATAAGTTTGACTTCAAAAACGTGAGGATTTTGTGCCATGAGAAGAAATATTATCCTAGGTTAATAAGAGATATGATTGAAATCCTGAAAAATCAGGATTCCGTTTGTAATTCCCGCTCAGATATAAATCGTCTAAGCTCCATCTATTTTGGCTTGTTGCGCACGCCGTGAACTATTGCCACCTGGCGGCTGCCCGTGCAATTTACTTTCTTAATCATCGGTGATCAGTTTTCTCTCATTTCCCGATGTTTGTTGCATATCGTACCTTGTAGTTTATTCTGTTATCACTGCAGTCTCATTTCAATACCAATTTCACAATGTAACGCCGTTTGCTGGTTTTTATTTTAATTTCCTTTTTATTTTCAATTCTATTTTAGCAGTTGATAATGGTGCCGTAAGGTACCGAAACTACCTGCCTTTATATTTTGTATTTTAGCCTTGTTTCCGCATTTTCCTGTGTTTTCGATTGTCGTTTCCGTTTCGGGCTGCTTTTACATTCTCTTTGTTTTCCATATTTGTTGATTTAATTTAATGGAATTAGTGAAGAAGCAGCACACAAGTGGCCATACTCTTCCCGTATAGACACTTTAATTAGAGTAAAAGATTACTCCCATTTTACTATCATAAATTCCATTGAAAAATCAATACTTTACATTAACAATTCTCTGCATTCAGAATCTACCAGATACGCCCACAGAAAACCCCCACCTTTTTTCCCGAATTCTATGCTCAAAAATCAGAGTGCAGGTTATCTGTGAAGCTCACAGAAATTGCACACCCATCAGGCGCTACTTGATGATGCGAGTGAAACAGACCACCATGGCACACATGGACTACACAGGAATTTTTTTTCTTTTTGACCCTCTCAAAATCTGGGGTGCGGGTTATCTGCAGGCATATACAGTATTTTCCTTTGGTTCTTTAAAAAAAAAACCCAAGATTTTAAAGATAGATATAAATTTTACAAAAAATAGAAGGATATGTCTCTTTCATAGATTGACTTACCTCAGCACTCCTCCAAACGTGAAAAGCTCCATGATAACTGTATGCTAAAATGAAGTCACCATTCGGTCCAAATTTTCCACCGCGGAATCCTAATGTATTACCGCCTACCTCCCCAAGGCGAACAACTTCTAACCAGACATCTGAGCTTTCATCTGACTCCCATACGATCAAAGTTTTATCCATTGAAGATGTGAGTAATTGCAATTTGGATCCACTGCCTTCTTTCTGATCTACAGATAAAGGAGAATACACGTTATTAGTTATTGAGGACAACGAGTTTCCAGCATTGATCAAAAATTGCGAAAACACTTTATTCTTCCTGCTGTTGATTATATTTTTTGAGGAATATGGGCTCACTCTCTTAATTTGACAAGTCCGGTTAGTTTGACCTTCCGGCCAAAGTATCACAAGCATCATGCAACGTTTTAAAATTTCCGCCGCCAGTTTATATTTCTGCAGAGGTATTGTTCAACGAAGCTGTCCGAAAATTTCACTGAATTTTCTTTGTGCTGCCGATGAAATTCAATGAAATTTTCAAACAGGTTCAACCAACAATTTCTCTGTAAAAATATAAGATAGCGCCAGAAATTTAGAAAAGCCGCATGGCGCTTGTGATACTTTGGCCAGAGGGTGACAAAGTACACTTGTCATGAGCATTCTGGGATGGATATGCATTGACGAATATTCTCTACCAAGTTCTGACAATAAATTCTTGTTAGTTCAATCATTTTCCATTAGAGAACATTTGTCACCGCAATTCTCATTGAGAGTATTATTTACTTAACAATAGTTTTTCACTCTTGCAAAGTAATTTTTTTATTGTACGATAATATTTCATTTAATCTCATAATTTCTGTGGTTTAGCGTTTTCCTTGATTTTGACAGCGGTAAGTAAGCAAAATAAAAGCTCTCAACAGCTGTCCATAGTTGTTTTCTGACGGAGTATATTTTGGATGCTAAGCGCCTCAATTTTCTGCATCATCAGATGAGTTCTTGGATTATTCAGAGGTACTCAAAAATACTGATCTAGACAAAATTAAATTGAAAAACTGAGCGCAGGTTGCAAAAAAATAATAATTGGGAAATGGGTGAAAAAACATACAGGGTGTCTTTACACATGAGAAAACAAAATCTCAGGGGTGCAGAGAGTTCTTTGCCTTCACATTTTTTGAGGTAGCATTCACATTGCTGTCCACATAAGACTCTTTTCCCTTCACATTTTTAGAGGCAGCTTTCACAATGCTGTCTATATAAAACTGCACACTTCACTATTATTTTTGCATGAAAGCATTCCTATAGCAACAAGTAACGCACTAAGCAGTTCCCTCCTCAAAAAGTACTTAACGCCTTTAATAGTTTCCTTTATAAAAAGTAGAAAAAGGTAACACAAAGAAGCACATTTTTCTTCCCGCAACCGGCTGATTAGCTAGTCGAGCTCTTACTACATCCCTGCAAAATATCTTGAATTTTTTTGGGTGTTTTTGCACCAGAATAACAAAAAATGTTTCCCTTTTCTAAGTATAACAGAAAAACCATCATGCACAAAAAAAAGTTGATTTCTACTATTGGTTTTAGAAGTGACCTAAGGGGGGTAAATATCATATTTCTTAATGTTTCAATGTTGTGCAGAATGTTTTTCAATGTGCTTCATAAATATGAAGACCTCTTAAAGACTACTGTATTTTATTAGTGCACAGAAACTACAAACTTGAGTTGTTCCAATGTACACCATAGACCCAGCCTTCATGTCCACTCAAAACCGAGTCAGCTGTGATGACAAAACTTGTTTTTTCATCGACTTTGATAACCTTCTCTTCCACACGAAGTTCGTCCAAATTGATTTTTTCATTCTCTTTCTTCCTGGAGAACCTCCACAACCGCACTGTCGTATCTTGAGATCCACTGGCAAGTATTAGATCCTTATTTGCTAGTGAATAAAACCAGATAAAATAGTATAGAAAATTTCCAGGGGGAAATAAAATTCGCGCTTTCATAGATATTTTAAAATTTTACTATACCTAGTGAAAATTACCGAAAGAAAAGTGAGTGACGAAAAATTATAATTTGACTGAAAAATTGTTTCTAGTATTCTTATGAATGTTAGCAATATTTAATTTCTTGCCTAAGTGTTAACACTTATCAATGATGGAATAAAACAAACAGAGCAACTTGAACAACATTCACGAGCATTTTGATCTCAAATCTTTTCTTCCTTAACTGTGTTAGATGGCTGTTTAATTAAGAAAACTAAAATGTAGTATTAAAGTCATAAATCAATCAATTATAAAACATATCAACGGTGTAAGTCGGTAATCACATAACTCGGTTTGCGACGTTGCAGACTTCCCGTCATGCTTTATTTTTTAAACGGAAAACCACTCAATGGCAGTTCTTTAAAACTGCCGTGATTTTTCTTCTCTATGCTAAGAAAATTCTACATAATCATAGAACAGTGATGTTAATTTGTTCTGCTTCAAAAAAATAACATAGAGGAGGAGATTTTAAAACACCGCAAGCGAGTTATATGATTGCTGACTTACACCGTCGATATGTATATTATTTGCTTCTATTATCTGTTCTAAAAACGGGCGCTTTTTCACCTTTCTCTCCCTCTTTCTCGAAGATTCTATTTTACTTACTAATTTTCATAGGTCCTTATTAGTGTGATTCAAATTTTTATTCAAATGCTCCACTTGTGTTTCATTGTAGGCAAACTTTAATTTCTTGGTTGGGAAACAACTTTATATTAAGTTTTTAAACAGACAATTCATTAAAAATAAACTAATCAAAAACCACCTACTATCAACTGTAAAATCTAGACTCTGGACCCAATCTTCGTGTCCTATGAGAGCTTCAGCAGGCACAAAGTCTTTTTTATCCTCATCAGCTGAAGATATATACAAGTTTATTTTGCAGTCATCAGTGGCAAACGCAGCTAAAATTCTTGAAGTTCCAGGCAGGAAGGCCAGACTTGCTGACAAGCAAAGTCTATTTTTCAGGTCAATAGTTTGACAATCCACATCTAGAAATCGAAAATTACCAAAGTACATTAGAGAAGAATCATGAGATGATTGCTTTTAAATTTCGAAATTACCTTCATTTATTTCTTGTCAGAATGTTCATATCAATGGCTCTTGTCAAAAAAACTGAATCTCAGATTGCGACATTGTGAATCTCCTCTAATGTTCATTTTCTTTGAGGAAAACTGACCGGCTATTTCTGGTGAAATTTTCTGTGATTTTCTTCACTCATTATTGAACAAATCACACAGAATTGCAAGGAATATTCCGATTAATTTTCCTCCTTATGACCGGAGATTTTTAAAGTTTGCAATTAAGATAAACAATTTTGGCATTTAACCATCCATATTCTCTAGTGAATTCCGTAATTTTTTTCTTTTTTTTCTTCTTTTTTTTTGAATTTTACAAAAGCTCCATTAAAAAGGAAAATTTTGGGCCTTTTGACTGTCCTACCATGAATGACTAATTAATTTCCAAAAATGATTTTCAACTCTCCATTCTTAATGAAAGAATAAAATTGTAATTTTACATAAAAAGTTCATGACACTAGAGGGATGAGTAAAATTTCTTAATTTGCATATTCTCCATCACATTTATTTTAAAAGACGGAACATTAATTGGATTACATTTTGCAATAAGGAGCCACTATTTCTGGCCCATTTTAGAAACAACATACATGCCATTGGTTTCCTATGCAGATATGTGATTTTATAGGAGAGCCAGAGATAGTGGTTCCTTATTGCAAAATGTAATCCACTTAAAGCTGTACCGACAACTGCACACCGATTTTCAGGATTTCTAGAGACGATCTCCGGTGCCTGCGCACACCCGTTTGTCCATTTCCAGCTTCCACTATCAAGGAAATTAACTGAGATTTTTACAGAGACATTTAATGAGATTTTAAACTAGGGAAATCAATTTGTACTTAAAACTTTGATGTGAAAAAAATCATCTAATTTCTTTTGAGAAGATGAAAAATAGACAAAATTTTCATACAGCCAGCCAGGATGCCAGGTTTCTTTGATCTGACTTAATTACCCTTTAATTCATGGGCAAGTATTTGAATTAATTCCAATGAGCTTACCAGAGGTATTACTGACTGTCCATATTTTGATGATCGAGTCATTAGATGCTGTGAATATGACTATCCGCCCACAACCAGACTCTGACTTAGGTTTGACATACAAGGCATCGATTACTGTTATACTGTCTGCGTGACCTGAAAGTAAAACAATGCATGGTTATCATCTATTAACAAATTAAAACTGGGAACTGATTAGAGCTGGGCGATTAATCAAACGTTAATCACAATCGAATTGAAAAATTAACTGATTGAAAAATTGAGCCGATTAATTTGACTTGATGAAATTTTGAATTTCCCGTCACGTTCTGAAGGCAACCCCGTGAAAATATTCGCAGCGAGCGTGTTTCATGATACTTCTGATGGGAAAGCTGGCTGCAGTCACGGTGTCCATGGAAACTGACGGGCAGAAAATGAATACTTTTACAGGACAGGAGTGCCATAATTTCTTCATCTTCATTTTCCCTGACTTTTCCTGGACTATTTGTGCTTACTCTGGACCAGAGGCAAGTCCAGCAATTTGGCAACACCGGATTTCCTCCATTTAAACGTAAGTTAAATAATCGATTCTTGTCAGAGCACCTGGTCCCTCCAAGAATCGATACTTTGGACCTGCGATCATGGTCCAAGGGCTCAGAATGTTCACAGGCCATTGGCGGATCCAGCAAATTGGCAACATCATCTTTCCTCCATTTAGACGTATGGAAATGTATCGATACTTACTTATTTGGAGGGGCCAGGTGCTCTGACAAGAATCGATTATTCGGCATAGGTTTAAATGGAGGAAATCCATTGTTGCCAAATTGCTGGATTCACCTCTGTCACGGACCAACGACCGATCGGTCGTTTCCGAATGGAGTAGGCAGTAGGAAATTTGCTTAAGCTACGACCTTGAATAATGGATGATATAAAATTGATTACGTTTTGATCAAAATACGCTCCAATACTGCCAACATCTGCCGAAATCGTGTGCGTGCGCGACCCTACACATTTCAAAATAGCGTGCGTATTTAGTAACTTGGCGCAATTTGAAAGTCAAGACAGGGTTGCCACAGAATTGAAATTGAAAATTTCAGGTAGAAGCCACGTAAACCTATTGGAAGTGTGACTTTTTTCTTGTTTATATGCGGAGATTCAAAACTTGGTAAGTGCCTCAAGATGTTGCTATATTCTTCTTTGGATATGCCTCCTGTGTGCATTCTACTCAGATCAAAGTCTATTTGAATCAGTGCGAACGAAAACACACCAACTTGAAAAAATGAAAATAATTAAGACACACTCAAAACTGCACAGTAGGTGAAGAAGTTAGTCTGAGAAAAAGATTTTTGGTGCCAAAGGACAAGTACTTCAGGACACTTTAAATGTTGGAGCAAATGCAGTAACTCCAATGACCTTTATGAAATTTAACGGTCTCAAATGATAATTGAGCATTTTCAAGTTATCGAGTTGGTGTGTTTTCCTTCTCACTGATTCATTTTTGTTTATGATTGATGACCAAAAATCGCAGTTTGGGAGGTCAGGGATATTTTTACCTAAATGACTAATATTTCGCCGAAAGCACACAAACAACAAAAGCACATATTGCTCTGGTTAGAAAAATGGTAGTTGAAAATATTGAAAAGAATACATGCCTTTTAAAGTCAATGTTTGAGTAAAAAATCCATCTTCATTCAGTGTCCACAGATTGGCAGTTGAATCTGCTGATACTGAGATTAATTGTGCCTTTGGAGGTGATCCTTTCACCCATTGGACAGAGTTTACTCTTTTGGTGTGACCAGTTAAAACTTGGATTACTTTACCTCCGCTATCAACCTGGATTTAACAGATGTTAGAAAATAAAAAATTTAGGAGGAAGGATGTTTAATTTGTTCAGTATCATTTTTTGAATTAATCATTGCGTCTTTGATTCATATGTCATTCATTTGCTTATTTCAGTTTGTGGTGTAATGTGCAAAGGTATATATAAACGATTGACTTTAGTTCAACTTCGATACCAAACCAAATAGTCACCAATCTACGAAGAAGAGCAGGCAAGAGCGAAACAGAGAGGTTTGATTGCTGACAGGCAGCGTGGATTATGTTCATCTATTTATCTAAACCACATAAGTGAAAGGGTCTAGAAGTGACACAACTATTGCAGCACAGGATGATTAGAATTCTACCGTGCGAAGGAAAAACGCCATTTGAACCTTCAAACAATGCCAAATTTTCTTCGATAAAACACGAATTCCAAGGTAAAATTAGGAATATTTTTCTTCCAATGTTTCAGAAAATATTCTTTGTATTTTGATCTAACGTCTCTGAAAATTTCAAGGGAAAATATTCATAATTTTCCTTGTAAATAAACATTTTATCAAAAGAAATTTGGCAACTCTCGAATGTTCATACGGCGTTCTTCCTTCGCACGGTAGAATTTATGTCTGAAGTAAGGAGTGCTGAGACTTTCATGTGACTTGCTTAAGTCTTTATCTTCAGGCGAAACGCTCCGATTTTGAATAATTAAAGAATTGCAATGCATTGACTCAGGAGCAAAATCAAGTATCTCTGTTTGAGATGTCACAGGCTTCCTGTCATGCCAACTTTATTCCTACCAAAAAAACCAGTCAACTTAAATTATTGAAAACTTACTTGATTTTTCTCCTTTATTAGCAGTGTATTCCTTAGAAACTTCAAGCAATTAGCTGACTTGTTTCTCCTCGAAAAAATAAAACAGGAGCAGAGATTTCAAAGCACCGCAGTACGAGGTCTGTTCAATAAGAAACCTGATTTTGGTGATAACTAGCCAACAATTTGCTCAAATTAGGTTTTCTTGGACTTTCCTGATAGCTGAAAATATACTTAAGAACACTAAGTACATTCACAAATTTGAAAAATCTTAATTAGCTTAGTTGGTACGTGGCTTGAAGTACGGCAACCTCATGGGTGTTCTGCGATTTTTATGTCTGGCCGAATTTGTCTCTTTTTTTCAGTCTTGCACTACCTTTTTCAACCCACAAGGATGATTGGAGTTACGTCTCCATATTGTATCCGTACACTCAAGTTTTGTCCCCGAAAATTATCGTATCCACAAATGTAGGTCCATTGTTTGAACGTTCGAGAAGCTAAAGGGAAATTGACATTCCATTAGATTTTTGCTCAACAGACAGCAATCACGGGAGAAGTTTACCTGAAGCTTGATGCATGTCTAAACATTCTATCAAAATTATAAGTATGTGAAGAGCCTTCAGAAATATCGCACTCTTCAGCGAGCTCGATACGACCATTTTCGAGCAATTTTACCCGCACTTCTCTCACGTGGGAAAATTCAATAGCCATTGATAGTAGATTCCCATGCTCCTCATCTTCAACGGACTTCTGACCAGTTATGAATCGTTTAAACCACTCAAAACGATGAGAAAAACTTATAAAATTATTTGGGTAAACTTTACTTAGAATACCAAAAGTTACAGTACAAGGTATACCAAGTTTAAAACAAAATTTAATGTTAAATCTTTGCTCTATCAATGATTGCATGATGAAAATCGCAGAACGCACATGACTTACTCGTATTCAAAGTGACACAGAATGTACATTGATCAAGATAAACAAAATCTGTGAATTTTGCGTTCTTCAATATGCTATCAGCTATCAGAAAAGTCTACGAAAACCTAATTCAGGCGCATTGTGGGCTGGTTACCACCAAAATCCTGTTTCCAGACCTCGTAGAGATGTGTGATTTCCGCACTACAGCCATCGAAGCACTGTTCATTGGTGTCTCGGAAATTAAGAGGTTGGAAGATATTCATCTGAAAATTCAGTGAGTACTATGTCCAACGTATGCTGTCAGGGAAGCTTCACTCACCTTGTCATAGTGCTTGTAAATGATGACGGAATGACAGGATGCAAAGCATACTAATCCTGTTGGGGAACAGTCGACGCTTTTGGAAGTTCTGTTGCAAGAGGATGCAACATAAGCATTTTCAAGGTTTGCGGGAGGCATGATTCTGAGAATTACTGGTACAATTCGTCGATGAAAATAAAAAAAAATTGGATTAAATGTGGTGGAGACCCACGTGGGATAAGCCAATACCATCTAATCATACCTGGCCATGGGTTTGAGGTTAAATGTTCGTAACTCCCGAGAATACACGGGATTGTATAGGGCGAACTTACAAAAATTGATTCTTTTTACATAAAAAGTGCTTGAATGCGGGGAAAAAAATTTGTTACGAAGGCTCTAAGCAAGGTAGACCGTTTGAGCTAAATATATGCGACCGAATTGCGTTTTAATGGAAGAAAAAAAATATTTAATAATGGTAGTGAAGTCATATGGGGAATACAAGGCACGTGATCATCCAGAAGATTTGGTTCGTGAAGCGAGATGTCTTCCTGACGCTAGGTGATGCTAGTTTAGGTCCCAACCGCAAAGTAGCGAGTAAAATAGACTCCTGAATACATGCCCCTTTGAGAAAAATTGGTTTTTTCACCTTATTTCGGTGCAAGTTAGTATTTATTTGAAGGAGGGGGGGGGACCACTTCAACTCTTATGATTTAAAGGTAGAAATTTTATTTTGTAACACATTTTGTTACATTCCATACAAGAAAAATTTAGAATGGGTAGAGATAAAGAAGCTGAATATAAGAGTATCTCTTGGAGCTCGAAAGAAACGACCGTTAGCGCTATGGCCGCTATGTCTACGTCGGGAGCTATTACTCACACACTCTCACACGTATTCTCCAATGGCCAGGTATGATTAAATGGTATTGGATAAGCTGGTTATCAGTCACATACAAATGGGACGCACACGTTCACTGACGCACGAGGAAGATGACGAACGATTTTGAGTGTTCTCTCACAAACGATAGATGAGCTTCTCAACAGAGGAAACGCATGGATTATATGAAACACTTATCTATTGATAAAAGTCTACTAAATCTAGTAAAATGAAATTCCATAAAGGTCTGATATCTGATATCTTCTCTGCTTCTGCATCTGCATGCTATTGTTTTGGTATGAAGGAATAACATCCGGTTCACTCCACTCTCCGTATTTTCCCCGGCAGAGATTCGTTTCCGGTCCAAGGTTAAATGGATGGTCGAAAAGTCCATCGTGTGGAAATACCGGAAATACTTTTCCAAAAAGGCGAGAAATAGAGCCCTGCGCAAGCTTCGTTCCACCACCCTATAATATGTTTGCAGAGCACCGGAATAACAAGAAAATAAAAACTAGATCAAATCAAAACGAGCAATAATCGGAAAGATTCGGCCGCCATGTTGAATTTCGCGCTACAGGTGGACGAATATCGAATATCGTATCGAATGCGATTGTTCGATTATCGCACTATCGATTCTTTACCATAGCTTCTTACGGGGACACAGCTATAGTCGATCGTTCACGAAGTTTGGCAAGAAATCCGCCTCTCAGCACTCTCAGCCACTGACGCCGTTCTCGCACCCCCGGCCCCGATCATCGCCTTACTTACCAATACTTGTCTCGGCTATTCCACTGGTTTCTGGGGATTTCGTGCTAAACTAAAGTATTCCTAGGTTATTTTGATCGTAGAATTCATTTTTGACCTTACTTTTCTTAATTTAATGACGCAAATACACAATTTTACGCGTTCTTTCAAACTTTCCGTAGAAACATAAAACTATAAGTTACTCGAAGATAAATTTTACTCGTTCTTGTGGGCATTTCGTGTTGAAACTCGGTATCCTTGGGGACTTTTGATCGTAGAATTCATTTTTCACCTTACTTTTGTTGACACAAACAAAACAAAAATAGCTAAAAAAATTGGCTGCGAAGCAAAAGAAGGCTACAGAAACATGGAAAATTTTTCCTCCAAAACATGAGCAGTTTGAGAGCCAGACGCAGTGTGCATAGAGGTAGCATGTATACCGTGAATTCAACGAATAACAAATATCTCATTCATTTGCAATGGCCATAGTATTGATATATTATAGTGTAATACACAAAATGCATAGAGAAAAAAAAGGAGGTGTTTGCATCTTGAGGATTTGTACCCACCTACGTCATCAATGTAAACAAGGCGCTCGTTGAGGGTTATGTTGACCCTGTAAAAACGGACCATAATGTCCGATTTTTTTACTTAAATCAACTCTTTATTTAATTTCAAGCACTTTTTATAGAATGACTTTTTCCCTTAAATTACACCATTTCCAAGAAAATCGACAGGATAAAAACGTCGCTGTACCCAATGACGTCATCAAAGCTATAGATACTCTATGAAAAATTCCAAGATGCCCGAAATGCAAACACCTCCTTTTTTTTCTCTATGCACAAAATGGTGAACCGGGGCTCAGTATGAAACTGGTCATTGCGCCTTGAATGCTTCGTTTTGTTTACCTACCTACTATCAATGCCTGGTAAAGGGCAGCATTCAAAATTAAAATTTTAAAGGAAACGATCAATCAAAAATTAAAACGAAAGTACTCACACTTTACGAATAAGTTTCCTATTCAGCTATTTCTTGCTCTTGCGTCCATTATTAAAAATTTTATCAATCGGCTTTAGCACAGGAACGAAAACACATGAAGACTCGCAGCGTTCCTAACAATGTCAAACAAGCAAGTCAGCTTCCATCATTTAAAATTTGAAATAGTGACACTACTCAGGAGCTTACAGCCCCAAAAGCACTTCTATAATTAAAAAAATTGCTAAAGTAAATGATTACGATGATGGCCGCCATGTTGAATTTCGCGCTGCAGGCAACGGCTACAGGTGGACGAATATCGAAATACTCGACTATTCGAATATCGAACTATCGATTCATTACCATAGCTTCTAACGGGGACACAGCGATATTCGATCATTCACAAAATTTGTCCAAAAAACCGCCTCGGCTCACTGACGGTTCTCGCACCCGCTCGAGCCGAGGCTTAAGATATCCGGCCACGGTCATTAATTGCCTTGTACTTACCAATACCTATTTGTCTCGGCTATTCCACTCGTTTTGGGGGATTTCGTGCTAAACAAAAGTATTCTAACGTTATTTTAATCGTAGAATTCATTTTTGACCTTACTTTTCTTAATTTAATGACGCAAATACACAATTTTACGCGTTCTTTCAAACTTTCCGTAGAAACATATATATAGCTGCTCAAATATAAAGTTTGCTCGTTCTTGTGGGCATTTCGTGTTGAAACTCGTAATCCTAGGGGAATGTTGATCGTAGAATTCATTTTTGTCCTTACTTTTGTTGATTTGTTGACACGAACACATGATCTCAGGGGTAAAAAGAAAAGGTACTCACCGATAGATTTGTCGTCCTGGTAGACATTTCGTGTTGAAACTGTGCAAACTAATGGTATTCTGATCGAAAAATTCATTTATGGCCAAACTTATGTTAATATATAATGAAACAAACGATGATGACACATGATTGGAGGCTATTTTCAAACTTTTAGTATCAGAACAGTGGCGTGCAGTCCGGATAAGCAGAGGGCACCTTGCCCAAAGATTTCAGAAGAAAGAAGAAAATCATATATATTACCTACATTATGTTTTAAATTTTGGTAAATATTATTGAAAAAGGCGGAAGGAAGTAAAATGCATGAAAATAAGAAAGAGAGAGAGACAGATATACATATAGAGTCACAAAAGTAGAAAAGCGGCAGAGTGGATGATTGCGGAGCGTGCTGCCTCTTGATCCTTGATCCTTGATCTCCGGAGAATCGCTTGCGATGGGCTGATGAGCGGAGAGCCGAGCCACTGCTCAGCGGCGGAATCAAGGCGGGCGGGGAGAGCGGTACGTTCCGAGTCCGAGCGCTTCGCGCTGCGCGATTCCAGCGGGGCTCCACTACGCTGCCGCTGCCTTTATGGGGAACGCATGTTTCGCGTTAATTTATTGCTTGTACTTGTAACTCCAAAATTGTTCGACTTAAACGAGAATGAACCAGACTCATCCGGAAGAGCCCAACATTTCCTATTATCAGTATCAAAAAATTCGTAAAAAAAAAAAAAAAAAAAAAAAAAAAAATTCCTGTGACCGAAAAATGGGTTTTTAAAAAGGCCGCGGCAAAAATTCTTACGATCAGTGATCCTTTTTTCTCATTTCCCCTTAAAACTGGCAATTTTAGAGCAAACTGTTTTCCATCAGATCATTTCACAAAATTTTCGAAAAAGTAATATCTGAGGCCGGAAATATGGAATTTGAAAACGGCCGAGGCAAAACTTCTTATGATCAGTGACCTTTTTTCTCATTTTTCTTTTAAACCGCCGACTTTTGAGGAAAATGTCACAGGACTTTTTAAAGAAGACGTAAAATTTACTATCAGTTTATTACAAAAAAATTACAAAACCAAAAATCCTGAGTTGAAGGGCTGGACAGTGCGTTTTCCTGTCTCGCCGTGCTTGCGCGCGGTTAGGATGACGATCGAGGGAAGAGAAACAATGCAAAGAAGGCGAGGCTAAGGAATGGGGAGTGGGGAGCGAGGCGGAGACCAGGCGCCGAGCGCGAGAAAAACAAGGAAAGGTGGGCGAGGCCGAGGAAAAGGGAGAAGGGGGCGGGGCGGAGACCGAGCGCCAGGCGCAAGCGAAGCGTACCACGCGGGCTCTGCGATGGAGGGGGGAGGCTCGGGCGGCAACTGAAGGCAGCGGTTTCGAGAGGCACCCGCATACCAGGAGTCATCAAACTTGATCTTCACGACGCTATCGACAATCGATACATTATCGATAATCGATTTATCGCCGGATCGAGAGAAGCGCGCATGGTGAACGGAGACTCCGTGGATCGATTACCCGCTCACTGTTTGCACAGAAAACGGTCGGAGCTGACTTGATGCCCGGCGGCGCAGCTGGAAGAATCACCCGAGGCCAGCGGCGCTCAACTTGGGCACCTTCCCCGGAGGAACCGGACTGACAATACGAAAATGACATAAAACACCCACTAATGCGCTACGGTTTTTGAGGGTGCGCTTAGCCTTTAGGTTGAACTGAAGATCGAAAGTCATGATACAGCAAGAATCTCAATTAAATAATTTAAATAAATTATTTAATTGATGCAAGTGAGGAAGATGCGCGGAGCGCACTCTGGTGGTGCCGCTTTGAACTGAGCCCCGTCCCGTACCGCGGCTGCGGCAGACCCGGCGCCGCCGGCGAACTCCGTTTGGCATGGCTGCTTCCCACCGGCTCAAATGCCCGGCCCGGTCATCGCCTTACTACCCAACTTTTGTTGCGGCTATACTCGCTCCTGGGGATTTCGTGCTAAACCAAAGCATTCCTAGGTTATTTTGATCGTAGAATCCATTTTTGACCTTACTTTTTTCAATAAAATGACGCAAATACACAATTTTACGCGTTCTTTCAAACTTTCCGTAGAAATATAAATAGTCACTCAAAGATAAATTTTACTCGTTCTTATGGGCATTTCGTGTTAAAACTCTGTATCCTTGGGGATTTTTGATCGTAGAATTCATTTTTGACCTTACTTTTGTTCACACTAACAAAACAAAAATTGCTGAAAAAATTGGCTGAGAAGCAAAAGAAAGCTGTACGAAACATGGAAAATTTTCCCTCCAAAACATGTGCAGTTTGAGGGTCAGACCATGAAAGAAATAGACTAAAGTCTATTTCTTTCATGGTCAGACCCAGTGTGTGCATAGAAGTAGCATGCAGACCGTGAATTCAACAAATAACAAATATCTCATTCATCGTCAATGGCCATTGTATTAATAGGTAGCATATTACAATACACAAAAATGGTGAACCAGGGCTCAGATAATGAAACTCGGTCATTGCGCCTTTGAATGCATTTTTACGTACTATCAATCCCTGGTCATGGCAGCATTCAAACTTAAAGTTTCAAAGGAAACTATCAAAAATTAAAACGAAAGTACTCACACTTTATGATTAATTAAGTTTCCTGGTCAGCTATTTCTTGCGTCCATTATTAAAAATGTTATCAATCGATTTAAGCACAGGAACAAAAACACATTATGACTCAGCGCTCCTTATGCCGAGATAGCATTTTAAGCCACTTCAGTCATTTCGGATTTTCGAATTTTGAATTTTTTGAATTTTGACAGATTTTGATTTAAAACGCGTGATACTCAAAATCGAAGCTCATATTCGGATTCCTCGTAAAAAATCGATGCGATTTCATGTATCATACCTTGACACCGAATTTCAGAAAAATCCATCGAACAGGAGCCGAGATAGCATTTTAACCCATGTCCGGCATTTCGGATTTTCGA